AACACCAAGAAAATTTAACTCGAAAAAGACAACCTCAAGGCATCTAAAAATCAAACTTGTAAAGGTCAAGGAAAAAGAAAGAATCCCCAAATCACCAAACAAAAAGGAAAGAATCCCCAAATCACTGAACAAAAGGGAAAAAGAAAGTAAAAGAAAAGAAAAACATAGAAAGGAGCTCCAATATGTCTGGCAACAGATTTCTCAGGAGAAACTTTACAGGCCAGGAGACAGTGGCATGATCTATTTAAAGTGCTGAAGGAAAAAAAAAAGCTTTTTAGAATATTATATCCAATGAAAAATATTCTTCAAACATGAAGGAGAAATAAAGACTTTCTCAGGCAAAAAAGAAAAAAAAAACTGAGGGTTTTTTTCAACAGAAGGCCTGTTCTACAAGAAATACTAAAAGGTTTTCTTCAGTCTGAAACAAAAGAATGTTAATGAGTAATAAAAATCATCTAAAGGTACAAAACTCACTGGTAACAGTAACTACACAGACAAATACACAATAATATAACACTCTAATTGTGGCATATATACTACTTAGAAATTAATTAAGAAGATTGAAAGATGAAACTATCAAAAATAATAACTACAACTTCTTGAGACCTAGACAATATTATGTGAGTAGAAACAACAAAATATGTAAAAGCAGGAGCAATAAAGTTAAAACGTAGAAATTTATGATTTCTTTTTTGCTTGCTCGTTTGTTTGTTTCTACAATGAGTTAAGTTGTCATCAGTTTAAAATAATGAGTTATAAGATGTTATTTGCAAAACTTATGGTAACTTCCAATTTAAAAAACCTAAAATAGGTACCTAGAAAAATATAAAGTAAGCACATACAATATACTACCTGAGATAATTATTTTCACAAAAGGGAAGACAGGGAGGAAGGAAAAAAGAGAAAGCCACAAAAGAACACAGAAATCAACATATGACAGAAGTAAGCCCTATCTTATTAATAATAACATTGAATGTAAGTAGAGTAACCTCTCCAATCAAAAGGCATAGAATGACTGTATGGATTAAATAAACGAACAAATAAAACCCAATGATTTGTGTCTACAAAAAACACACTTTATAAAGACACACAGAAAGTAAAAATCAATGGATGAAAAAAGATATGCCATGAAAATCAAAATCAAAAAAAGAGCAGGAGTAGCTATATTTACATTAGAAAAAATAGATTTCGAGACAAAAACTATAAAAATAGACAAGGTTGTTAAATAATGATAAATGGATCAATTTTGAAAGAGAATGTAACAATTTTAATATATATGCACTCAACACTGGAGCACCCTGTTATAAGTAAATTTTCTTGCAAAAGAAATAGCACTCAAAGATATGTCCACTGAGCAAGGCAGTTTACTTCTATAGAAGGGTGCAGGGCACACAGATGGAGCAGTAATGACCACCGCAGGTTTAGACAGCAGGGAAGGGGTACTTATGCCTGACGGGAGTCACCCCTACTGCTGTGCTATCCCCTGTTGTCTAGGGTTAGACAGCACAAACTAGATTAATCCTGATTGGCTGTTTTAAAAAGAGCTGGGGTCCGAGCTGGAGTGGCAGGGTGGGTGTTTTGGGATGAGTGAGGCTGGAGCGGGGAAAGGATAGGGAGCAGGTGTGAACTACTGATGAACTGGTGGAGAAGGTTGTTTACTGGAATTACAAGGAAGTTAAACTTTAAAATAGAGATTTAAAGAAAAAGAGAGCTGAACATACTGACATACTGATTCTTTAAAGGAAAACTTAGGGTTCATTATAACAACACAGATATGTAAAGCAAATATTAATTGAGAAAGCTAGACCCCAACACAATAACAGCTGGAGATGTCAACAGCCTACTTTCAGAACTGGGCAGATCATCCAGACAGAAAATTAACAAAGAAACCTTGAACCTAATCTGCATTACAGACCAAATGGGCCTAATAGGTGTTTACAGAACATTTCATTAAATGGCCGCAGAAAACACATCTTCTGTTCAGCTCATATATAATTCTTAAAGACAGATCATATGTTAGGTAACAAAACAAGTCTTAAAAAGTCCAAAAAATATTGAAATAATATCAAATATCTTATTTGACAAAATTGAATAAAATTAGAAATCACTAAGAAGAAAAACATTGGGAACTAAACAAACATATGTAAATTTAATACTATGCTGTTGAATGACCAGTGGGTCACTGAATATATTAAGAAAAAAAAAAAACTAAAAAAATTCTTGAAACAAATGAAAATGGAAATATGACATATCAAAACCTATTTGATACAGCAAAAAAGGTACTAAAAGGAAATTGTATAGCAATAAATGCATACATCAAAATAGTAGAAAAACTTTAAAAACCTAATGATGCATCTTAAAAAACTAGAAAAGCGCCGGGCGCGGTGGCTCAAGCCTGTAATCCCAGCACTTTGGGAGGCTGAGGCGGGTGGATCACGAGGTCAAGAGATCGAGACCATCCTGGTCAACATGGTGAAACCCCGTCTCTACTAAAAATACAAAAAATTAGCTGGGCATGGTGGCGCATGCCTGTAATCCCAGCTACTCAGGAGGCTGAGGCGGGAGAATTTCTTGAACCCAGGAGGCGGAGGTTGCGGTGAGCCGAGATCGCGCCATTGCACTCCAGCCTGGGTAACAAGAGCGAAACTCCGTCTCAAAAAAAAAAAAAAAAAAAAACACTAGAAAATCAAGAGCAAACAAAACCTTACATTAGTAGAAGAAAATAAATAATAAATATTAGAGCAGAAATTTAAGAAATTGAAATTAAACACAAAAGATTGAAAAATGAAAAGTTTGTTTTATGAAAAAATAAACAAAATTAACAAAACTTTATCCAGACTAAACAAAAAAGAGAGAAGAGTTACATAAATAAAATCAGAGATGAAAAGGGGGACATTACAACCAAAGCTGCAGAAATTCAAAGGATCATAGAAACTGCAGACTACTATGAGCAGCTATATTCCAGAAAACAAGAAAAAATGGATAAATCCTAGACACATACAACCTATAAAGATTGAACCACGAAGAAATATGAAACCTGAATAGACTCATAACCAATAGCTATAATAAAATGTCTCCCAGCAAAGAAAAGATCAGGACTTAATGGTTTCACTGCTGAATTCCACCAAACATTTAAAGAACTAATATGAAGCATACTCAAACTATTCCAAAAAATAGAAAACACATTATACAAGACCAGTATTACCCTAATACCAAAACTAGACAAAGAGACTCAAAAACAAACAAACAAAAAAACTACAGGTCAATATCTCTGATGGACATTGTTGCAAAAATCCTCAACAAAATACTAGAAAACTGAATTCAATAACACTAAAAAGATTATTATCAAAAAAGGAAAAGAAAAAAAAGATTATTATCATGACCAAGGAGGCTTATCCCAGGGATGAAAAAATGGTTCAACATACACGTATCAATCAATGCGATGCATTCTATCAACAGAATGAATGACAAAAACCATATAATCATTTTGATTGATGCCGAAAAATCATTTGATAAAATTTGACATCTCTTCATGAGAATAACCCAACAAACTGGGTATATAGAGAACATACCTCAACTCAATAAAAACCATATACAACAGATCTATATCATACTGAGCAGGGAAAACTGAAAGCCTACAGATCTACTAACATACTGAACAGGGAAAACTAAAAGCCCTTCCTTAAGATCTAGAATATGACAAGGATAGCCACTGTTACAACTGTTATTCAATATAGTAGTGGAAATCTCAGAGTAATGATGAGAGAAAGAAAAAAATACATTCAATACAATTGTAAAAGTAGAAGTTAAATTATCCTTGTTTGCAGACAATATAATACTGTATTTGAAAAAACCTAAATATTCTACAAGAAAACTGTTAGAACTGATACATTCAGCAAAGTTGCAAGATACAAAATCAACATACAAAATTTAGTAACTTTCTATTTGCCAAAAGTAAGCAATCTGAAAAAAAGTAAGTAATTCCATTTGCAATAGCTACAAATAAAATACCTAAGAATTAACCAAAGAAATAAAATATCTCTATAAGGAGAGCTATAAAACACTGATGCAAGTAATTGAAGAGGGCACAAAAAATAAAAAGATATTCTATGCTCATGAATATGTCAATAATGCCCAAAGCAATCTAGAGGTTCAGTGCAATTCCTATGAAAATATCAATGACATTCTTCATAGGAATAGAAGAAACAATCCTAAAGTTTGTATTTAAACCACTAAAGCCCCAGAATAGCGAAAGCCACCCTGAGCAAAATGAACAAAACTGGAAGAATCACATTACCTGGCTTCAAGTTAAACTGCAGAGCTTTGGTAACCAAAACAGCATGGTACTGGCACAAAAATAGACACATAGACCAATGAGAGAGAAGAAAAATCACAGAAATAAATTCATACATCTTCTGTGAATTCACTTTCAACAAAGGTGTCAGTAACATACTTGGGGAAAGAATAGTCTCTTCAATAGTGCTGGAGAAACCGGATATTATTATGTAGAAGAATGGAACTAGATCCTTATCTCTTGCTATATACAGAAAAAGTCAAAATGTATTAAAGCCTTAAATCTCAGACCTCTAACTATAAAACTACTAAAAGAAAACTTTGGGTAAACTCTCCAGGGCCTTGGTCTTAGCAAATATTTTTCTAGTAATATCCCACAAGCACAGACCACCAAAATAAACATGGACAAACAGAATCACATCAAGGTAAAAAGCTTCTGCACAGCTAAAGAAAGAATCAACAACATGAAGCGATAACTCACGTAATGAAAGAAAAATTTGCAAACTATCCATCTGACAAGGAATTAATAATCAGAAAACAGCTCAAACAACTCTATAAAAATATAAGAATTCAATTTAAAATGAGTAAAAGATCTGAATAAACATTTCCCAAAAGAAGACATACAAATGGCAAACAGATATATGAAAAGATGCTCACCATCATTAATCATCAGAGAAATGAAAATCAAAACTCCCAGATATCATCTCACCCCAGTTAAAATGGCTTTTTCCAAAAGATAGGAAACAACACATGCTGGCAAGGATGTTGAGGAAGTAGATACCTCATACACTGTCGCCAGGCATGTAAATTAGTTACGCCATTATGGAGAACAATATGGATATTCCTTTAAAAACTAAAAATAGAACTACCATATGATCCAGCAATCCCACTGCTAAGTATGTACCCCAAAGAACGGAAATCAGTATATCAAAGAGATGTCTGCACTCCCATGTTAGTTGCAGCACTATTCATAGTAGCCAAGATTGGGAATCAACCTGGATGTCCATCAACAGATGATTAGATAAAGAAAATGTGGTATATATACACAATAGAGTACTAATCAGTCATAAAATATAACGAGATCCTGTCATCTGCAACAACATAGATGGAACTGGAAGGCATTATGTTAGGTGAAATAAGCCAGGTGCAGAAAGATAAACTTTACATGTTCTCATTCATTTATGAAAACTAAAAATTAAAACAATTAATTTCATGGACATAGATGGTAGAATGATAGTTACCAGAGGCTGGGAAGATTAGTGGTAGAAGGGAAATGCAGATGGTTAATAGGTACAAAAATATAAAAATATAGTTACATACAATAAATGAGATATAGCATTTGATAGCACGGCACAATGACTACAGTCAAATGTGCAACAACTTGTTGCATATTTTAGAAAATCTAGGCCGGGTGCGGTGGCTCACACCTGTAATCCCAGCACTTTGGGAGGCCGAGGCGGGTGGATCACGAGGTCAAGAGATCGAAACCATCCTGGCCAACATGGTGAAACCCCATCTCTACTAAAAATACAAAAATTAGCCGGGCATTTGGCATGCGCCTGTAGTCCCAGCTACTTGGGAGGCTGAGGCGGAAGAATCGCTTGAACCTGGCAGGCGGAAGTTGCAGCGAGCCGAGACTGCGCCACTGTGCTCCAGCCTGGCGACAGAGCAAGTCTCCATCTAAAAAAAAAAAAAAAAAAAAAAAAAGAAAAAGAAAATCTAAGGGAGTACAATTGGAATGTTTATAACACAAAAAAAATTAAAGATGCTTAAGGTGATGGAAACCCCACTTACTCTTACATAATTATTACACATTTCATTCCTGTATCAATGGGGTACATATCATGTACCCCATAAATGTATATACCTGCTCTATACTCGTAAAAATTAACTATAAGACAATTTTTAAAAATTTAGCAAAATACAGTGAAGTTAAGCTTTGTTGTAGAGTTGTTTTCACATAAGGATAATCACTAAAATTTAGAAATCCTTTAGAGAAACACAAACTCGCAGAGAAAATGTAGCTGAAGATTAAGAAATCATGAAGGACATGTATAGGGTGAATAAATAAAATTTTACAAGATTACAAATAAATATTTCCCAGAATGAAAGCCACTACTTAAACATAAAAAGATATGCTTTTAATATTAATATAATGAAGCCATAATAAAGTTATAGACTATGGTGTTTTTACTTTAACAAGGTAAAAATTTAAAAAAGACTCAAATTAATTGGTGAGTTTCTGCTTCAGCTATGCAACAAACAAAGGTTTTCTTCATTTTCTTTGGGTGAGTAATCTGTGTCATTTAATTCTCTCAGAGTTCTTTGTACACAGTTGACCAATTCCTAGTTAGGATGAAAGAGTACTTCATTATTTGGAATTTTCGAGTGTTAAAAATTACCTGTGAGGAGTAATATGTTTTTTCTATATAATAGGCATATCCAAGAAAGACATTGGAAACCAGGCAGCACCTTTCCTTAAAAAGCTTAGTTTTAAATGAGAAACTGTGAATTACACCTGCCTTGTCAGTTCTCTCCTTTAATCTCGAATGTTGGGACCACTTGTATTTTCCCTGTTGACTTCTGGGTCATTCATCATCTTCTCTTTAGCAATTCCATGAACCTGCAGGATCCATCAGACCCTTTTTATCAAGATTTGTTTTATTCTAATCTCCATTTACTTTCGTTTCTGTTCTTAATTGAGATGACTTTCCTTCGATAGTTCTGTCATTATAAAAGCAAAAATTTTTAAATTTATTTTAATATTACCCATCATTTCATTTCAGTCAGCACACTTATTTAGCTGTTCCCCTCTTATCTCCATGTCTGAGGCAATTCTTTGTGTTTCTTTTTTTCTTCAATGAGCAGCACTTACTCAAAATCTCTATTTTTTTCAATTTTTTTTAGTATATAAACCTTGGTGAAATTATGCCGTTTTTTTTTTATTCTTAGTTTCTTCCAAGGACCTATCACTTACTTGTCATTTTCAACTTAAACAGTAGGCCCTTAGCTTGTTTAATCAAAAATCCAAACTGTCAAAAATTTTACTTAGGACAATTATTTGCAGATCAAAACCCTATATTTACTTTGTAATTACTGCTGCTAACACCTAAGGACTTGTTTTGTAGAGAGGGAAATAATTTTTTTTCTGATGGCTTTAATTTTCTTATAAAGAAGTACTCCATATAGAAAAGCAGCATGATAATTTTACTGTCATTCTTAATTTAAAAAGACATGATATTATAGAAAGAAAATAGATTTTGATTGAAATAGAACTTGGTTTTCTCTCGTTAGCAGTATCATTTCTGTAGTCATCTCTGAGTCTCAATAAATTTATCTGTAAATTTTGGATAACAATATGCACTTTCTTAAATTGTCTTAAAAATTGATTGAGATAATGTATTGAAAGCTCCAAGTACAGTTTTTGAGTAAATTGGCATTAACTCTCATAATAAGGCTGTCATCATCTGATAAAGTTGAACAGTTTGATATGGAAAGTTATGTAGAGAATCATATATGTTCAAAATAATAATTAATTTCCACACAAAACATTAAGAGATGTATTAAAAGTTGGGTAGGAAATGAGAAAGATCCAGTGATTGCTCATTTTATAGCTATTACAAAGGAAGTTTGGACTTCAGTAGCTTTGTGTGTGAAGATTTTAGAAAATTACTGATATAAAGACAAGATGTATTTGCAGAAGGAAAAATACATAAGATGATGTGAAATACATTTGAGAGATAACCTTGAAATTTTAGTATTAAATATATAGGAAAGCAACTAGTAAATTTTTTAAAAAGATGTCACATGATGTAGAATAAAGAAAAAAGACAGTAAGAAGAAAAAATACATTTGTTTTAAACAAGAGAGACATTATTTTAAAGAAAACGTTATTTTAAATTAAAATATATAACTTTGTGGTTTATCTGAAATTAAATATTTTAACTCATACTTGATGGAAGCATATCGTATTGCAATGAGTTAGCAAGTTAATATTTATTAAATGAATTTTAGATTTAAATATACTGTGTATAAATTTGGTGTTGGGTACAAATTTCAGACTGTTTGTGAATTGTTCTGAAATTCAGTTTGATTTCACGGGTATTACCTTGAGGCATTTTGTAACAGCAAATATGGAAGCATAACTCATGTTTAATCTCACTCTTCATTGAAATCGCCTGTGAGTAGCAGATTTACCCACAGTGTGTTTTACAAATGTGCATACACAGTCTTACTTATAATTATTAAGTACCAAAATGAAGCATGCTCATTACAATATTATACCATCTGGTATAATGACTTGGTACAAGTGATAGGTAATGAATCGTGAAATATATAGTAAAGCATACATTGCCCATCTCTAATAGATCACCATAGAGGTAAAAACGTAATTTTGTGAGGAGAAACGTAAGAGACCTTGCTAAAGTACACTCGTTATATGTTAAAGTTGTGTATCTTCAAATGTGTTCTAATAGAAATTTGAACAGGAACTCATAAAAATACACACTGTATCTTTAGTTTAGAGAATGGATGCAATGACGAGATACAGTCAGTCAATTGTTAAAATTTTTAGAAATTTTGTGAGTTGATGAACATCTCATTAGTAGATTGGAATCACCCATGGTCGAAATAGTAAACACTACACCTCATGGCTTCTGCTTCTCCAGAGAACCAGTTGTTAAATATTTACCAGCACATGATTGGTTAAGGAAATCACACTTTCTATACTATCAACAAAAAGCAGTTATTTACCATTGGTAGAATCCTTCAGCATGTATGGTAGTTTTTTAAGATTATGTTTTATAGGTATATATTTATTGCCCAGTCTCAGGTATTTTATTATAGCAATGCAAGAACAGACTAACACAGGGACCTACATCTTCTCATTTCTCTGCTCCTTCTTTCATGGCAACCACTGTTTTATTCTCTATCTAGGTATATTTATTTAACCTTATAAAAAATTTCATATACAAATGAGATTTTGCAACTATCAGACAGGTAAATTAATATGAGACTTCTAACAGAAGAAATATTCCTTAAATTATATTTTTTAAAAAATTTCAAGTTAAAATATAATTTCCTCATGGAAACTTTGCACTTGGAGGCACAGCATTTTGTTCCAGAAACAAATGTTGAATATTCCATTAGTCTAGAGATTCATTTTCATTAGGAAAATACCATGAGGTAAAATTGTTTTGATTGACAGATATTTACATGTGTTACAATTTTCAAAAAAGGACACCATTACTACTTCCTGTGAGTTTTATTGATAACCTGGAACATAATTTTACTTTCAAACAAATAATATTAACCACAAAATGCTTCCAGGTAGAAAAGCAATATGATCCAAGATCCTGTGTATTCCAATGAAACATTTTAGAATTTGACTTTTCTATTATTCAATGTAGCAGTTAAAAAATTTAAGCAAATTATCATCTGACTTAGGTTTTGACAATCAACACTGATTTGACTAATGAGTGAATTGATTGGCATTGATAAAATTTAAAAATTTGGAAAATTCATATGGATGGAGCAGTAAATAATTGTGTAAGATTGAGACTTTGCCATGTATCTCTATAATTCAGAGGGTGAAAAAAAGTTAAATTAGGTTTTTTCAAAGATAGTGTACTATTTACCATTTTCTTCCCATGCAGACAGCACTTACATATTTAACAATGTACTGGCATCACCTGCTCTAAATCTTGCAACAATCTTTAAAGTTGAGGGCGGACATTGATTGACCCACATCCTAGGCCATTTTATTTCCCCTCTTTCTCTCTTCTGACTCTTCCTTTAAGGCACATGTACATTATTTGTGTAGCCCACTGTTTTCTTTGTTCCTGCTTCACTAAAATTATTAATTAATAATTGCACTTGTAGCCATGTCAT